TGTGTGTGTGTCAGGTGTGGTAGGTAGTGGAAAGTAGGTAGGTAGGTAGGTTTGGAGTGGAAAGAAAGAAAGAAAAAAAAGAAAAAGGTAGAAAAAAAAAAAGAAAAAAGTTGTAGGTGTAGCAGCAGAAAAGGCAGTAAAGGTTAGCAGAAAAAAAAAGCAGTAGCAGAGTGAAAAAGCAGGTGTGCAGAGCAGAAAAAGCAAAGCAAAAAGCAGAAAAAGAAGCAGCAGTATAGGTAGTAGCAGCAAAAAAAAAGAAAAAAAGAGTGAGAAGTAGTAGGTAGAAAAAGAGAAAAAGAGTGAGTAGTAGAGAAAAAGGAAAAAGAGAAAGAGTAGCATAGAGCAAAAAGCAGAAAAAGCAGGCAAAAGAGTAGAAAGAGTAAGATGCTCGTAGTGATGTGTTTGATCATCGATGTTCTACAACGCAAAACGCCGCCATGGTTTCCAGCAATCAGCTGTCACCGGTAGAGTTTGAAAACGTTACACAATGAGCTTGCAAGGTGTCTAGGGGAATCCGGGGCGATTCAAATCTCCTGAACCAAATCGCGTCCCGCTCAACTAGCCGGGCGAATGATGGTGTTCGCGTTATCGAAAAAACCATGACCGTTCAGTAAGCTACCAGCACAGGCGTCGACGCAGTGAGCGACCCACCAAGGATTTCGGAAGACACATGAGTTCGTATGATCTGATCAAAGATCTGGAAAACTAGCGCTCTACAAAGACACGCACCCTTCGCGTGTGGCCTCTCCAAACTCCCTTCACGAGCGGATCGCTCATTACATTCACGCTGCGCATATCTACCCGAGACCTCTAAACCGAGAGAACGTGACAGCCCTGCTAGAGGGGCGAGATTCCTGGCCAACAGTGGCAGGAGCAGAGTTTTGTCTAGCCTACCCGGTGGACGTCTCGGAGCTTGAACAGGCCCGCGTTATCGCATTCCCGGATGACTATCTGGCCGTACAGCCCAAAGTACCCTCAACCCCCGACATGCCGCCAAAGCTGCGGCATCAGCTAGATGCACACCCTTCTGTACGAGCTGCGGTACCTCAACGATGCCTGGGAACCCCGCAGTTAAGACTTTGCCAAGAAGACGTTACCTCGATCGACCTGGCCTTCCTGCGCGATACCTTTGAATCCCGAGCCGAAGGTTATCGGCTGAAGGTAAAGCGCGAAGACCTGAAAGGCGTAGGCACTTTCCTATGGAAACGACTGATAGACGGCTCAGTCGACCCAGATACCGCTTTTTCCAATTACATCACCAGGATGCGACTGGCCGCTGGCAGTATTGCTATCTTCCAAATCGATTTCGATCTAGATATCGACGTTAAACAGTTCCTTGACTGCGCCTTCAACTATATCGCTGCAGATAAGACACTCTTTGATAGCTGGGCAGACTGCGCAGCCAATGTCGCTATCAGTCACAATAGTGTTAACAACATCATCAAGAAGCCATCTCCTCTAGTGGTGCGGAAAAGACCGGGACAACCTGACGAAGTGAGCCAAGAAGCGGAATCTTATTGTGAGGCTCTTGATTTCTCTCAGCTTGAAAGTATGATCTACAATCTAGCAAGCAGCCCCCCACCACGCTCATAGAGGGTGCAAAATGGTGGAAAGATGTAACACATTATCGATTCCAAGGGATCGGAGGCATTAGCGAGCACTTAGTTCACTTAATCCTCCAGCGCGAGCATAACCTTTACTCCCCCAGAGACAGCTTCCCTCTCACCCGGAAACTAATCGATTTAGCCCATCGCTCCCCTAAATTGGTCGGAGCCCTGTTCAGTGATATCTATCACCCTCCCTATCTTTGCTTCTTACTCTCGAATCCGAAGACAAACCAATTTGGCTTGATCGGTGTTTATGAAAATATAGAGCGGAACATGCGCCCCATATCAGAATATGCCTCTTATGAGAAGAACTGGAGTGACTTAGTATGGGCTCAAGCTCTTGAACTATTTTACAACAGCTACGAGCAGTATGTTCGCCTACCAGCCCTACCCGAAGCTATAGATCAGCTTTGCGAAATGATCGCCTGGTTCGCCAACCACGAGATCAACTACAACTCTCGTCACAAGTTAATAGCAGACACTCGCCTGCCTAGCCTCCAAAAGACCATAAGCACCGTGAGGTACTTGGATGATTCAAGACAAGTTAGGTACCTCATAGAGGACCACCGCCAAATACTCATCAATCGTGCGCACGAACACCTTCAGAAGGCTCGTATAGGGGACCGATATCTACCCCTCGGAGGGTGGCTGATTTTATTCTGGTGCCTTGACTGGGATTTGGCCTCATCCAAGTCACACCATAATTCGAGTACCCATGCACTTGATGCATGCGGGGCATTGATCGATAGCTACCTAGGACTGCTGTATGACCGCCTGAATGGTGACACGAATGCAGTTGATGACCCGCTCGCATTTGATGAGCTTGAATGGCTCAACGTCTATATAAACGCATTAGCCGAGCAGCGCGAACGCTGGATCAGTGCTCTTGATGATCAACCTGCGATCGATTCAGGTGACCCCGCCAAAGAAAAAAGAGACACCGTATTCGCTGCTCGCATGCACACCCGATTGCTACTGAAACTTTTCACGCAAACTGAGTACACTCCAGAGCACGCAGTGGAGAAGCGTATTTTTGCAAGTAAGCTCATGGGTATTATCGAACGCTTTGGCTTCTATTCAGAGTGGCAGTCTGGAATTTTCGATTATTTGCATGATAACTCGGACTACAGTCCTATAAAACTATGGCCAACAGTTTGCAATGTAGCTAACAATTTTACTCCGATAGAATTTCAAGAGCTAATTGCAATTTTGCGGCGAAGGGAGGCCCCCTTAAGAGCGCTATTTATAATGCTAGAGCGTACTACTGCATATGAGAACAAGAAACTTGTAGTAGGACTGATAGCTGAGCGCAATCTAGAAGACGCGGCAACCAACTGGACCCCCGAAGCCTTCGATATCATCCTGAAAGCCGCTAACAATGGTCAGATGAAAATTGCCAGGGAATATCTAGACTACGTGAGGAAATACTCTCACAAAACTTTCAAAAACAAGATTGCTGAAATATCTGCCAAACTAGACCTTAAAGACATATTTGACAACAAGAAGCTGCCAGACCAGGAAAAAATCAATAGACTATGCTTATATGAAATATCCAGCGAAGAACAACAGATCACCAATGAAGTTCAAAGCTTCAAGCGATACCTGATTGCTTCCCTCACAATGTTTGTGGATCATGCCAAAGCACTGGACATGTTCAGCAGTGTGCTCGATGTAGAACAGACACTACAGAACGCGACGGGTTTGATCAAGGTAGCGCTCTCTTGGCCCACTGACATTGCTCGACCCGAACCACTTGAGTTTTATTTAAAGCGCTGGTTGGACACCTATCAAAAAACTTTCAAGACGGATCTCGACGCCAAACTCAGCGATGTTGAGCTAAATTACATTCTTCAGCTCTGCTTGGAAACGGAAAATTTCGACGATTTCAAACGATTCTGGAATGTGGCATCGCCCCAGCAGCAGCAGGCCTATGAATTAGCTCCACTGAGGGCAGAGTATCTCAAGCGTATGAGAAGCGCCGAAGAAGCACTGTCTTATCTCCAACAGATACGTATTACTCATCGATCTTTCCCACTCGATGTAGAAGAGAAAATCGCTGCCATTGAGAATAGCCTCAGGAGCACCGGCACCGTGGGCCTCTCTAAGCCTCAGCCAATCCTCAATGCTGAGATTGACTCCTCTCATGACAAGCTGCGTCTTGCATGGCTTACAATCAAGGACATGAACGCATACGATCAAAGTCAAATATTTATGAATGCCACAACAAATATTGATGAGTACCTGTTCGAATTGGTAGAGCATGTGGGTCGGGAGTTACTGAAACGTAATGGAAATCTCCAGCGTAAAAAATTGGCTCCAGCGTCCGCGAGCACGATCATGCTCGATGAGGAAGACATGATTAACGACTGGTTTGTATCGCTCGTATGTCAACGCATGAGTTTTCTTAATTGGACGATGCCGGATCAGTCACGTACTGGGCGCTCAGGCAGCGGTAAGGGTGTCGGCGAGACTGATGGTTGGGTACGGGATGGAAGGGGAAACCCGATTTTCCTATTCGAAGGTTTTAGGCTTGGAAGCTACATCGACACTACACAAATTGATGAGCACCTGAACAAGATCGGCAGATATAACTCCATGGGTATGAGTACGGTGTTTGTAGTGATCTATGTCGCTACGGAAAACTTCCCACGGCTGTGCGAATCCTATGTTAGACATGTTGAGAAATGCGACTACAGAGACTTTGACGATGATTACAAAAGCGGATTACAACTCATAACAACACAGGGAAATAGCTTTAACGCCAGATACTATAAGGAAACACGTAAAATCAATCAGAGTGATGTAAACATCTACCACCACTTGTTACATCTCAAACCACCCATGGACAGTGATGAGGGTTGATTTGAAGGATTTGGAATGAGAACTCCATCACAGCACAAGGCTGCGAAAAAATTTGAGTCGGCGACCGTGTCCTATTGCAGCAGCTGCAGAGCGAGGTTTGCTCGGCTCTGCGCTTTGGTCGACGCCCATTGGGGGAGCACAGGGCCCTTTTTCGCCCTCTTCGTAAGTTACTGATTTTATTGAGGGCTCCGGACCGCTTAAAAAAAGAGGGTTCAGATACCCAGCGTCAGGGTTGATCTTGCTCCAGCACGCGCTCGGTACAATCTACATGGCAGAAGCCCTCATCTTGAGCGGCCGCAGCCTATAGGGACATCAGCTACCTCCAGAGACAGAATCGGATTGCTGGTGACCAGAACAGAGCTGTCCGGAGATACTTCGATCAGCTCGTCCTGATGCACGACGCGAATACTTTGCTCGCCCACCTCGAAGACCTCGGGGTAGGAGTAGACACCCGTGAAGTCGGCAAGCCCTTCCGCCCCCTCGTAGACCAGTCCCTCCAGCCGCAGCAGCTCCTCGAGCGGTTTGGGACCGGCCTTCAACGAACCGACTATCAGATCGGCGTTGCGCAGCAGAAACTCGTGCACTTGCTCAGCGTGGTCATCCACCTGGTCGGTCTGGCGGAACGAGAGCTTGGTTGGAGCGGGAAAACTCTGGGCATAGAGTTTCGATAGATTGACCTCACCAGCGATAAGATCAGGGCTGAAGAACGTGAAATCTGGGGCCCAAGGAACAAAATCGTCAGTTGCTGACTCAAGCTGCTCGAGGAACCCATCTGCTCGCGAATGCAGTGAGTTGACGAGTTCCAGGAAGCCAATCGACGGGTTGCCCCCATTCAAATACACTTCTGGCGGTCTTGAGAACACTGCTATTCGCAAGGCGGTTTGCGACATTCTGGAGGGCGGCGAAGAGGCCTTCCGCGAACGCGCACGTCGATTGAGGATTAGGCTGGATCGTTAACGGCTGCAGCATTGAGCTCTCGATGCATAGATTGATTGTCCGATGTTTGGGAACAAACATCGGTTTTCCTCACCTTGATGCTTTGCACCGGTACGGACGCAAATTGCACCTGGGTGTGACCCCATCGACCAACGGAAGGATGCAACAGCTCCAATGACGGCCTCCGCTCCTATAGACACTACGGGCCTGCTCACCATATTGGGAGTCATCGCCGCCGTGTGGGCGCTCATCTCTCCCACTAACCGACTCCGGCTTCGCTTCTGCACGACCTGGGTGGATTGGGTCGTGGGTGGATCAGTGCTTTTTCTTGTCCACTACTTGGTGTTCGCCCCGGCCTTGGTGCAACTTGGGTTGTACTACAGCCTGGGGCCTTGGAAATGGGGGCTCGACAGTTCCAGTGCGGTGTATCTGCTGCTGCTCTCGGTGGCGCTCTACTTCTTTTGGCGAACCCGCTTTCCGACACTGGCCCGAGGGCGAGTTCACGTCTTTCGTGAGCTGATCGAAAATCTGCACCTGACGAAACGCTACGACGAGCTGGTGCTGCTGGTCGAACCCCAACTGCCGACACTCATTTCCCTGACCCAGCAACAGTCTTGGCTGGTGCGCTGGATCGAAAACCGGGGCAATTCCAAGAATGAACTGGCTGCGCTCCTGCGTGGGGAAGCCCCTAAGTCCCCTTCAGCCTGGCGCAAACAGTGGCGCCGCGTGTTGCAAACATTGAAATCAAGATGCGCGGAGCGAGACCAGGCCAGCCTACAAGCCCGGGAGATCCTGTTGAATCTGCTCACCTCACCTGACTTGATCGTTCACTTGGCGCAGGCGCACCCACATTTCTGCCTCAAACTGCTGGAGACTGACGAAGCAATACGCTCCGACTTCATAGCGCATTACATCGAAGCATTGCTGGACGCGCCGGGAAGCCGTCTCTATGTCGAGCTGAAAAACAATCAAAATCTAAATGGTGGAAGCCGCTTGTATCTGCCGGAAAGCAATCGGTTACTTCGTTTTTTTTCGCTGATGCAGCCATGGCGGTGAAGAACGGCTTGGAGTCGGCAATAGGTGACTCAGTATGCCGCCGCTTGGATGAAGACCGAAATTTGGCCGAGAAGCTTAACCAGCCGCTGGGCTCCTACCAGGAGAGCGGGCGGTTTCGCTGTCCAATCAATTCCGGCATCACGCTCTTTGAGATCATGGTGCACGAAGGCATCCATCAGGGACTCCAAGACCATATGTGGCTGCACTACTTTGACGACTTCGCCGAAAAGATCCTCAAGCAAATGTCCGGACCACCCGACGAAGATGCCTATCAGGAGTGGCCGACGCCCTTTCACTATATCCTCTATCGCCTCGTCAGCATCGCCACGGATTGGGCTGAGCAGTGCGTGCGGATGGATGACTCTGAAATCCCGCAGGCAACGCGTTCTGCCGGTAATTTTGATCGCCACTACATCTCCAAGGAAACTACTAAGGTGCTTGGCGCAATGCTGCAAGACATCATTCCGAGTGAGAAACTATCTGCTTCCTTCAAGACGTATCTGCTAGAAATCGCCATTCGCAGCCATGTGCAACTCCAGGGCGATCCGAAGATGGCGGATGTTGCAGCGTCATTCCTGACCGCCGTGATCCAGGGGGCCAACTTGCCAACGAAGGTCGCCTACCGGCAAGAGCTTCGGAATGTATTCGGAAGTTTAGATCACGTTCTGAGGGACAACGCATCTGCCTTCGAAACAGCGCTGGATGCCTCACTGCCTTGACCCTCTACTGCGCTCAGGTGTCCGCCGCACGGGGGTGAGCCGTGATGGTGGATGACACCAGAGTTGAATCACTCATTCGGCATGTCGGACGTTGACTGTAGCTACTACTTGATTGAGGCCATAGCCTCTTCGCTCATCGCCCTCGTCAATGAGTCGCATCATGGCCTCGCGCAGTTCGCTCGACACGGGTGTGCCGGCGTCCGTGTCGCGAAAGTAGCGCATCACGGTGCCCGCAACGATGTCGGCCAGCTGCACGCCGATGGCCTCATGCGATTGCGCAAACTCGATGCTGGCTTCTTCCTCGAAGCGGTAGTCAGACTGCGGGGTGTAGGGCAGATCCACGGAGCGGCTCAGGTTTTCGGCCGTCATTTTTCCCTGGCGCAGAATGTTCTCCACCTCCAATTGCTGGTCGTGTACCAAGCGGATGCCGGCCAAGCGCCTGCTGTAATAGCGATTCATCCTGGCGTAGATACTCGTGAATGACGTCAGGTTCGGCAACATCCAGACCTGTTTCGCATGCTTGTTGAGATCGGGGGCGGAAGAAACCGCGACCAAGCCTCGCCACCGTTATCACGTTGCTCGCTGTATTCGGCTTCAGCCTCCTGCACCATGTGGGCAATGCCTTCCGCGATTTGCACGGCCGATCCGGTATAGCCCAGATTTGTAGCCATGTCGCGCAGCACGGCGAATGAGGCGCGGAGCGTCGCGTCACCCGGCGCCAGGCACGAGGCGACGAATGTATCGAGGGCACGTTCGGACGCGTGAAAGTACAGGAAGTCTGCCACCGTGTTCTTGATGAAGTGGAGCTTTACCGACTCGGTATAGCCAAGGCATGCTGGCAAGAGTTGGAACGAGGTGATGCTGGTGCAGATAAAAAAACGCTTGTCGACCACCTCGATGAAAAGCGGAGCGCGCTGATCAAGCAATCCATGGATGACTTCGGCCGAAAATCTTGGCTTGGCTGTCAGCGACTTGGACTTGAGTTCGCCGGCAGAAATGCGGTGACGGCTTCGCAGCTCATTGATGCGATCGTCCCAGTCATGACCGTCCTCAAGACCAATGCCGGCCAGGGCAAAGTAGGGCTGGCCCTTGAAGTCGTAAGCATTGCCGCTGTTGATCATGTCCCCGCTGTGGCCGCTTTCATCAATATAGACGGTAGTCATGTTCTGTCCCTGAAATGATTCGCCTTCGGATGTATAGCGCATTCTGAGCGCGCGCTCGACCTAGTGTTAAGGATCGGGCGCGTTTGCGCCTTTCTTTGAGCTGGCGGCTTTTGGCGTCTTCCTGCCACCTCTGCAGAACGTCAATGTCCCGTTGCAGTTGGAAGAACGACTCTTTGATCAAAGTGCGCCAAAGAGCCTGCTGATCTGTTGATTCGACTGTCTTTGACCATGAGGTCGGTGCGCTGCCAATGCTAGAAGTTTTCTTCAGGGTTTTCATGAATTAATTTCAGAAAAGGGTGAAGAATTTCTTTCCGCACAGCATGATTATCTCCGTAAAATTTCCTTTCTTTAATTTTACAGAATCGCGCACTTCATCAAAGACTTCTTCGATTATGTACTCCTCGCCCTGGTAGGTGTATTCGCTTGGCACAACTACCATTAAGATGCGTTTGTCTTGATAGTTTTTATCGTGTTTATCTTCGATGGCTTTTGTAACTCTGGCGGCAAGAGTATCGGTTTCCTGCTTCAGGTACGCCATTGTCTTTAGTGGAAATGTGCCGTCGTGCGTCTGGCTAGCTAGCGAGTGCAAAAGATAATCGTTTTTCGGGCACCCCAGAGTGATCTCTATTATTATTTCTTGGTTATTTTCATCATCAGTGATTTTAGCATCGAAATTCTCTTTTTCTGTGCCAAGTTCAAGAGTGGCATGATCTGGTATCGACCTCTTCATCAAAAAATAATTGATAGGCAAAAACTCTTCTCTTAGGTATTTATTTGCCCGATATTTGTTTGAGAAAAACCCATCTGGCGCATGGATGTAGCTCAAATCGCTACTTGAACTTATAGACAGGTGCTCCTGTATTAATCTCTTGAATTCAACTACAGATATCGGCCTCTTGAATATATCAAGATCGATGTCGTCTTTTTCATATGATTTTTCTTTTGGTGGCCGGTATGAAGCTTCTAGTGAATACTCAGCATTTAAAACCAAGCCGGCATAGTGCATTGCCAGGTCGGGGTGTAGTGAAAAATTTTTGCTATGATTATTTAGTATACCCCTTCCTTTCATGCTGGGGAATGAGTCTATGATTTTCATCACCCCACTTAATAGGAGATTGGTTAATTCGTCTCTTTTTTTACAGCCCGACTCAAGAAAGCTGAAGCCCCATAAAAATGCACCCTCAACGAAAATTAACTCGTACTCATATACATAGACCTTTACGCCATGTACTTTCCCAAATTCCTGGAGCCACTCATTTATCAGACTATTGAATTGTCTATATTTTTTCCATCCTAGCTCGCAATAGGGTGGGCCTTGATCAAAAAGTATGAAAGAGTGCGACTGCTGTTCTTCTTTCTTGAAGAATTCGGCGTTATCGAACATCTTTGCTGTCCTCGCGTTAATTGGCTTTGCTGAGCAAGCCAGTCTTTCCATGTCATTTGTCAGATGTCCTTCAGCATCGCTGCTGAAACGATCTGGCCGTCTTACGTGCATACAGGAGACAGCTTAAGCCGCCCCCCTGCTCCATCAGCCCCCTCAACTGCCCCTAAACAGCTTCTCGATAGCCGAGGCCATTACCCCCAAAGCATTGATAACACCATCTAAGATGAAATCAAGTGCTCGTCCGTAGCCTGCATGGACGTTTACGGTATCGAATCCAAGCTCTTGCAGTGTCGCCAAGCAGCGATCAACGTCCTCGTGCGCATCGGCGATTCTGAGATCGTTATTCAAGAACAAGGAGGCCATGGACTCATTGCGATCGCTCCAATCCACAGGCTCCCTGGCTGAGGCGAAGGTATCGTTTGCCTCATCCTGAGCATTCAGTCCTTCTAGAATGTTCAAGAGTGCCTGCAACAGCCGAAAGCATCCCAGGTCCCTGACGGTCCCCGTCGGACATCCAGCCCGCTCCAACAATAACTTGAGTATCCGTTGGTAATGCGCTGCCACACCTCGTGCAAGCCTTTGCAGCGGGCGAGAAACATCTGCTGAGCCATGTTCAACGATGCCACCTGAGCCAACTGATCGAGCGCCGGATAGGCCAGCCAACCGTCGGCTGCTACCTCGGCAGGATCAAACCCGGTCAGCTCGACAATCGATTTGTTCAGTCCTACGGTTGCACCCAGTGCAGCCAGCCCGTCACCCTATCGTAAAAGCACCTCAAGCAACCGCTGTACCTTAGCGACCACATGTTCTGCTAGGTTCAACCGAACTAGCCAAACTGTTACTAGGATATTAGGCGCAGGACAATCCAGAGCGCGCTGTCTCTCTTGGATCGACGCGTGACCACTGTGTCCATTAGCGTCGTCCTTGAGACGCACACATACCTAATAATACTCTCACGAGAAAAGAATATTTTGCATATGGAAACAATCAGACAATGAGCGATCTATTCGATGTTGACGGTTCCAATCTCGATCTGGGGTTCGAGAACCTGAAGGCCGCCGAAAGCCCGGTTGAGCAGCAGCTTCGCGTCACTCTGCAAGAGATGTGGACCCACTACGAGCCCTATGCCGATCCAGACTTCCGCCAGGGATTCGCACGTGACGTGGATGGACGCTTCTGGGAGATGTATCTGGGTTGCACACTTCTTGAGGCGGGGCGCATATTGTTGCCCGTCGCCGACCGTCAGCGCAAAGGCGGCCAGCCCGACCTATGCGTGCTTGAAGAGAATCGCCGTATCTGGATCGAAGCTATAGCTCCAGACGGAGGCGCTGCGGGACCAGAACGGATTGTGCCTCCTGTGCCGATCAATGAGGGCGGTGGCCTTATTGCTGCGCCGATCCGTCAAGCGCAACTTCGGACCTCCGGGGCATTCTGGACCAAAGCAAGGAAGATCAGCCGCTATATCGAACAGGGCGTGATCGCCCCGGAAGACGCTCGCATCGTCGCGATCAGCGCCAGCCGCTTCGGCATCTATGTCCCCGAACATCCCTTACCACTCATCATGACGACGCTGTTCCCCATCGGCGATGCTTTTCTCACTATCGATCGCGATACAGGCGATGTCATCGAAGAAGGCTTTCACGTCTCTCCCTTGATCCACCGAGAACGGAATCCGATCCCGCGCTCGGCATTTCTTGACGAGCGCTTCGCAGATATCTCTGGCGTGATCTGGTCACGGGTTGGACTTGGCAACCTCTCGCGTCAGGTTCGGCCAATTACCTATGTTCACAATCCCCTGGCACAGGCACCATTGACCGTGAATTGGGGCGTCTGGGACCGTGAGTTCGTGACCATCCGCCAGATCGACAACTGGGAGTCCACCGACATCCTTGCCGCAACGGAGTCGTTGTGAAGAGGAACTTGAATTCGCGCATCTGCTACATACAGGGCTAAGAGGCCGACCATGTCCGCAACCGGCGAAACTCGACTTTTCACCTTAATCAGCCAGCGCCAATTCGAGCTCTATGCCCTGTCGCTCGAGCACGGTCCCAATTTCGACCCCGCACATATTTTCAGTGCCTATCAGGCCGGAACTGGTGGCGTAACCGGCTGCATTCTTCTTGATCCGGACACAGGAGCTTTCACATATCTGGCCATGCGCCGCCGCATCGACCACTGTTGGATCAAAGTAGATGAAAGCGGGCCCTACTCCACACCCGAGGCTGCACTAGACCGACTCACCGTCGCTATGCGTGCCAGTGATCCACCGGAACCATTGCCGCCAGGAGTCAGGCGTCGCCCGCATTTGCTGAAATCGGGGCCGCGTGGGACGTCTCCAGAGTTCCAGCTGCTGACAACCACGATCAACCATCTGCCGGCGCTCATGGCGGTCGGCGAATGCTACCTCGCGCTTCCCAACCCCGACGCCAATTTCGTCTCGGATTTTCAAACCAACAACTTCGCGTCCCGTCTGTTCGAGCTCTACCTTTTCAACAGCTTTCGTGAGCAGGGTTTGAACGTCCGACAAGACCATGTCTCTCCCGACTTCTTGATCGAGAAGGAAGGTAACGCATGCTGGATTGAGGCAGTTACAGCAAACTCCGAGCTTCCACGCGCCGGCGGCATCGGGAAATGGGTTCATGCCCCAAAGGATCGCATTGAACGGCTCACAGGCAACCCGGCGGAACGATTCGCAAAGACGCTGCGCGGCAAGCTCCAGCGCAACTATCATGAACTGGACCATGTAAAAGGACAGCCGTTCGCCTTAGCGATCGCCGACTTCCATGATTTCGGCTCCATGGTTTGGAGCCGCGAGGCTCTTCCCACCTACCTTTACGGCTTACGCGCGGACGTCACCGGAGATGGCACTGATCGTCGCGCGATTGGAGTGCCGATCGCAAATCTGACGGGCCAACACAGCATTCCTGCTGGGCTCTTCCGCGACCCAAATTTCGCACACCTCTCGGCCGTCATCTTCAGTAATTCTGCAACGCTCGCCAAATTCAACCGCATGGGTTTCTTGGCAGGATGGCGACCGCCCGGGCTGACGATGATCAGGCGCGGCATTCTCTTCGACCGAACTCCGGGCGCATTAGAGCCTATCGATTTCAACCTTGCCGTCGACAGTGCCGAATACCAAGCACTCTGGCCGTGGGGCGAAGCTTGGTGTCAGGAACTGGAAGTGTTTCACAACCCATTGGCAACACATCCCATCCCGTTTGATCTCATCCCCGGCGCGACCCACTGGTTTGAACGCGATGGCGACATCGAATGCAGCACGATTTGGGCGAACTCAGTCATCTCATCGATCACTCATCTACAGATGGACGGCAAACCCGCTGTGACGAGCAAGCCGCGTGACCGTCGCCAACCACCTGCCCCCACGAGCACAGAATAGACGACGACAATGACGAATGAGCCATCTGATCGGACGATCATCCTACATCTCCTCCGCGGCGCCGTGCCCGAACGAGCCGATGAAATCAGCGGTCTTTGGAGCCAATACGGCCATGCCGTCGAGGTCGCGCCAAGTAGAAAGGGCGTGACGATGAATGCCAACGGGAAACGTATCCAGTTCGACACTAAGACGATCGACTTGTTCTGGCTGCTTGGCTTCAGCTCGTGGCGGGCCATCGAAGTGTACGCACCAGCCCTAGTTGTCGCGACATCCAACGGGTTACCGCTCGACCAAGCCCTCAGTGTCGATGAAGAACGCGGCCAATATGAATTCGACTACAAGCAGCGCATCGCCGCCGCCCAGTCGCTCATCACAGCCGAACAGACCTCAGACGTATCCTGGCCTGTGGACATCCCCCTGCCGAGCGCCGACCGTGATGGCCTGGGCAACATTCAGCACATGGCGGCATTCGACCTTGTTGCGCTCGCCTTGGCCTTCGCCCTGCTACACGAATTCCAGCACGTCATGTTCTGCGCCGATAAACGCGCGCCCTCTACGCGACCTGAAGAGGAAATCGCCTGCGACACCTATGCCCGAACTTTCATGACAAGCGAGCTCGCCGCCTATGCGAAGGTACACGGACACGATTTCGCCCAGGTCCAGAACAAGCGTGCGATGGGCATCACGCTCGCCGCCGTCATCGTTCATGCGATGACGCTGCCCCATGCACGTTGGGGCAATAGCGAATATCCACCGATCACCGAACGGCTGACAGCAATGATCCGTGGCTACACTCTGCCAGCCGATTCATCATTCTGGGCCTTCACGGCCTGTGTCCTAATCGCGCTTATGCGGCAGGAAAACCTTCCGCTCGACATTGTCGCCTACTCGAACAAAGAAACGGTCGAAATGCTGCTCGACCGGCTCGGTTGAAGGCCTAGGGAAATAACTTGCCGGTCTATTTCATTGGCGAAGATGAAAACGGATGCTCTCCTATCAAGATCGGGGTGGCGAAGAACATCGAGGAGCGTAAGCGCAATCACCAGACCGGTAACCCTCTTGATCTGAAACTGCTCGGATGGATCGAAGTAGCCGATGCCTTTCAGCTTGAACGCCAGCTTCATCAGCACTTCGAGTCGACCCATGTGCGCGGCGAGTGGTTCGCAATCGAGCCTGCAGAGATCTTGCCCATTCTCATGCGCGTTGGCCTAGACGGATTTGTCGCCAAGAACGCTGATGCGTTCCAGGTCATTGGCTATGACCGTGACCCTGTGCCGGAGTATCTTGGGGTATGGGAATGGGGCGACCTTGAGATCTATGAATGCTGCCCCTACTGCGGCTGCCTGTGCGGCATGCACTTTCAAGATGCATCACAGATGTACCACTATCTGAACTGCGACACGCTAACGGACTTTTCGGACTTGGACCCACGCAACGAATACTTGGACGACTGAGCCATGACTGACAAGGAATTTAGTGCAAGTGAACAATGGCTTGAAGCCCGAGCCCCCGGCTTTCGGCCGCCTACCAGATCTTGATCGCCGCGTCATATTCGACTTCGCCTTTCTTTGGAGTCTTTTCGAGGCACAGATCATGGAGAACCACGCCCGGACTGATCGCATCCGCGATCGAATCGATGCCTGGACTTTGGACGGAACGCTAGAAGCTGAGCTCTACGAAGGGGAGCTTGCCTATTTTCGGAATCGTTACTATGCCGACGGTGAATTGACTCACCATTTCCCTCACCTGAAACTCCGGCCCTCAGACCACCTTAGTCTCGTTCATGAGGTTGTTGAAGGGGTGAACGACACCCCACGCGACCGAATGTTAGCTCTCCTGATGATCGTCTGGCGCCTACGCAACAATCTCTTCCACGGCGAAAAATGGGCCTATGAGCTTCGCGATCAGCGCGAGAACTTCAGTCATGCGAACAGCATTTTGACGCGAATACTCGAACGCCATGGCCGGCTCGGCTAACAGTCCAGCCGCCCTTGAGGACCGTTCCCTAGCCAAGTTGAACCGGTCCCTCGCGCTCGATCCAGGCTTCAGGATCCCAGAATGCGCAGTGTGGGACCGTAAGCCTAGTGTGTCCTACGCGGCTATTTCGGGTCGCCCTTCTTAAATCCTCTGTCCCCTGCCATAAAGGCCTCCAGCATGTACGGAATGAGAGTCGCTGCATCGACGGTCTCGCCATACGCTTGACCGTGTAATGCCGCATAGCGGTCCAAGTCGGCTTTCAATCTCGCTGGGCACATGATGGTCGGCTTGACGCTCTCGGTCTTGGGGGAGCGGCCCCAGCCGCAGCTTGCGCGATGTGCTCATCTTGATATCCCCCGATCGAAGAACAGAGGCTGATACGGCCCCAGAATCAGATCGCGATTGACGATGACGCGGACCGGCAATCTGGGGCGCTCAGTTAGCGTTGGCTGGATGTTGAGGTTGCGTCGGGTCATCTCCTGCCCGACCTCATTCACGCTGTCCTGCATGCTGTCACGCCCTGCGATGATGACGCGATCACCGTTTTGGCGATTCTCCGGTGCGGCCAACTCCGTGCCGACACCCAGCAATGTCGTCAACGCGGCACCTGCAAAGATGCGATCCCAGTGCCAATCGACACCATCCTCAAGGCCAGCGTAACCAGCCGGATCAGTGCCCGCTAGGTTGTCGAGCGCGAGCGAAGGGGTGTCCGGCAAAATGATGCGACTCCATACCATCTGCACGCGGCTCGACGAACTCGGAATGTAGCGAGTCAGAAGGCACGATCACCAAGGCCGTGGCCATCCGCGTGACGAGCCGTAGTCCAAGCATGGCCTGATTCATTCTCACTCAACCGGCATGGCTGTCGTGGCAGTCGTAGCCGGTGCCATCACTGTCACGAACGCGACGCACAGCGCGCCTAGCTAAGGCTCACGTAGACCAGCCGCCTGGGTTTGCCGAGCAGCGATCAAGTTGAAAATGATAGATGCGCAAGGACGCTGTACGGTCCTAAAGTGCGCTTGACGCCCTGCCCTGGGCAACCAATCATCAGGCATGCTCCGAACAAGCCGAGACTGGCGTACACTGAAGGCCGCTGACGGCCACCCTGGTCCGTGTCAGAAATCCCCATTCGCGATCGCTCGAACACCCGGTGCAATTGGGGGCAAAACTGGGGGCATAATTCGAGATTTTTACGCTATAACTACCGTGCTAGAGCCTAGTCAAAATGTTTTTGGACACTTTGATCTTCAGCGGACCATCGACCTTCGCGCGCGCCCACCAACAAACACCCAAGTGATGACGGGAGTTCACCGAAAGCAGTAAATTCAGTGGCAAGCCCCGTCATTTCCCCGAAGATGGAACGTTATCTCGGACTGCGGGGCTGCACTGGATGATGCTGCGCGATGTTCAGGCGTATCTCTAAGCGACCAAACAAAAACCGTTGGCGTTTGCCTGGCTGCTAGGTCAACTCGAAGATGCGGACAAATCGATTAAAAACATCGAAAAATGGGTATTTAGGAGTGGGCTTTAAGGCACGGCTGTTGCTGATGGATCAGGCATGATCAGGATGCATGACTGCGGAGTTCCAGATAAGAACAACTGACGCTGGGCTACCAGTATCTTTGGATGATCTCAGTCTGGATTGCTGCTCAAATTTGGCGAAGACAGGCTGGCAGCATTCAGTTATCAGGCTATAGAGATCTAATAGCATCTCCGGCCTGCTGTGGACCACATAATCGATCCTTGAAGGTTAAGTTTCAACTAATTCGATCTTTAACATTCAGATGACGGGTTCAGTGAGATCTAATTACGATCAAGAGGCTGGATAGATGCTAACTGGAAAGTGCTGAATTTGGGATAGTCAGTCTCATTTGAAGAAGGCTTCTGTGTACCTAAGGATTCTGTGTTTAGTTCCACCTTTAACAGATAATGACTGCGCCAACTCAACAGATGTCAACGGAGGCTTGCTAGCTTTTGATGGCCTACTGAGATCAGGCGGTTAACGGAATACTGCTCATCGATCCGGCACTCTTCTTCCCGATAGTTGCTAAACTACCTCCTGTATCCGGTCTATTTGTAAAGAAGGCTGGGCATCTTCTTGCAGCTGGGCATCAGTCTCGTTCGGCGATCGGATCGATCTTATCATACCATAACTGGTGATTGATCGACTGCCCCATCTAAACGTCAATTTATTCAGTGACCCTATAATGCGTTTATTGAATAAAGCTGAATGCCATAAAACTGATTGTTCTTTACCGGGACTGCTACTGATCAGCTGTTGCCCGATCTCCAGCTGGTGCGGCTGGCGACGATATAGGTGACTCGTTTTTGGATTACTAACCACATGAGCTTTAACAATCATCAGCTTTGGACTGCTTCACCACACACTCACGTTTGTATTTGGCTTTGTAGTCGGGCTGGTCAGATGCAGCAAGCAACTCATGTCCGGACTGATCGCTAACAACATGAAACAAAGGCTGGGCACAATCGCACCGCTGTGGACTGAAGCTGACCATCCTTTCCCAGAGCTCATCATGACGGATTCAGCCATTCTACAGGAGTTTGGATACGACCGTCAAGATCTGAGCTGGGTTCATGTTAGCCCCTCGATTTTCTCTTTAGCAGGTGGTGGACGGACTCGGGTCAATATTTTTCTCATTCAATGTGCAGGAAATGCACTATTCGATCTGCTCAAATAGATCCAGCGGGATCGTGACGATGATCTCGTCAGATGGACATCACCCAGATTGAACAGGATATCTTATTGGAGGGTTCTTTCAGATCTGCTGTGAAGGCTGTATCAAAGATCATTTGCCAAGGCTAACACCTCTAGATCTCTGGATGGACCCAGTATCAGGCAGCTACTCCTTTCCTAATAATATTTGGCCTTATTACCTTTGGTATCTTTGGGGATGATGTGATCATAATGAAAGAGCATTTGTTGCTGCTCGTCATCTGGGCTCACAGACTTCGCTAGACAGTTGGATCTTCTAAAAGTATACATTTCTACACATACTCAGTGTATCTAAGCCTGGTTTTTCCCTGCGTGCAGTCCAGATCAGGCTTTATAAGCCATCCATTATCCTATCATGGTCGTACAGACGATCCAGACTACCCGAACGATCGTATCGGAGGGTTACCAGCAGCAGGCTTCTGGTTGGGAATCAGACTTAGTTAACTCAGTCTCCTTTATCCAGGCCTTCCGGCAAGCTGCGTTCGTGCATCAGTTGGACCTGGGTCGGGACTTTAAATCGGATTAAAAATGCGGATCAGATGGTTCAGTAGTTCCCTGCTGGGCAGAAAAAGAGACACAAGGACACACTGGTTTTGACTCTTACAGATTCGGGATGAACTATAGCAGCTTTTTAATATTGGATGGAGCTGGGATGAACTCATTTTGTTGCAGCAAAGATCAGATATCTATAACTTCTTGAAATATTCGATCTTGGTGATGCGATCCCATCTAGATCACTAATCCTTGAATCAAACTTCTATGATTCAAAGATTTTTGCTGGCCCTCAGTTCTTTAGATCACATTAAGACAACACTTGTAATGTTCTGTGAATTCAGGTCAAGACACTTATGACGATCTTAACTAAAGGCGACAACAGCCATTGCTGAAAGGAGAGATCGACAGGGTTAATAACAGATCTGGCATAACTCTCGCCTTTGATTACTATTTATTTATGTTGGTTGGCTGCATGAACTCAGACATCGTTTCGTATCCAGTTCTATTTGAGACCAGAGGCTGACGATCGCATAATGATCTTGGCTACTGGCTTTGAAATCCATGGGTTGCCTTTATCTATGTAGCGCCAGACACCACCCTGTCAATTACATATCAATACTACAGATCGAGAGATTCCTTTAAGCAACGATATCTATCAGCCAGCGGACTCAGGTGCTCATCCATGTGTCGAATCGGAGATGACGATACTAAGATCATACTGGACTGAGACCATCATGAACACCATTCGCCTGGCGAATGGCAACAAATAATCGAAAGATGAAGGCGGACATGTTGTTTCCCAGTGATCAGATCAGGGATGTTAATCGGCTAACTGTAACCAGGGGCAAGAAGGCATTCTCATCGCCATTCCGGTTTCAGTCAACTTCTTGCAGGCTTTATCAGTCTGAGACTTTGTGTTTAACTGGTGCCTTTGGGTTTGATCTACAGCCATCGTCTTTGTAGTCCTTTGCTAGTGTATCTCTCGTTGACCACCTGCACTACAGTTAAGAGATGCTGGTTTGCCTATTCAGCGCAGTGTAACGTGTAGCAGAAGATGACTGGGGCTAGTGCGGTTCTACGCGGATGTGGTGCAACGCCAGGGTCGCCTTCAAAGGTGAACTCATAGGCCATCATTCAGAACACGGGTTTAAATGACGACTACGCTGGATAACATGCTGACCTTTCTGACTGGATCAGACTCAGACTACTGGTCGTTGAGGCCGTCTGGGTATGGATTCTTTGCGCTGCTATAGATCACCGCCGGGATGTCCGGCGGCGCCTGTATCTCGCTCGTTTGCTGAAGCATGGATCCAGACTGTTGCTAACGGCAGTCATCTCTTAGAGATTAACGCCTTCGATGTTCTGGCAGCAAACAATCAGGTTGATCGACCCCTCATTGACCACTCTGCCATAAGAAGAGAGTACTGTTGTCATAACGGATGACTGTTATCGCGCTCAGGCGCCCGGATAAATGATCGGGCCAGCGCTATTGAACGATCATTCGTGCAGCGTGACGGTGCTGGTTAACAAAAACCGCACGCCCGGAGACCTGATCGGCGTGATCGTGGTTGCTGCCAGCAGACTGGTGCCGCATGTGAAAGCTGATGTCATTCATTCTGCGGTTTAGCGAGGCTCTTTCGTCTCGGCTCAGAGAGTCTCGTACTGCGATCGGCGTCAGCTCATCTGGCGGATCTTCGGGATACTGGTAACAAGACCCTAACCAGGCGCTGTCTGTGGTCTCAATGATATCTCTTAATCCTGATCTCAGGAAGAAGTTCTTACTCTTGGCGCCGTACTGCTATTAATCAGTTTGGGCTTTTTGCATAAGGATATTGAGGCAGCATTGCATCGACCCATCCGCTCGGTGTGCTGCCTTCATATCTGCAGTCTGGACATGTTGTGAGGGATCGATTCTGCATGATTAACGGCATATCAAATCAGGATGTGACTACACTGTATATGACACTGATGATTCATCATTCCCCACACACACACACACACACACATTACCACACACACACACACACACACACACTTTTCTTTTTTTTTTTTTTTTTTTTTTTTTTTTTTTTTTTTCCCCACCACCCCCCCCCTTTTTTTTTTTTTTTTTTTTTTTTTTTTCCCCACCCCCCCCACCCCACCCCCACCCCCATTCCCCCCACCCACCCCCCCTTCTTTTTTTTTTTTTTTTTCCCCCCCCCCCCTTTTTTTTCCCCCCCCCCCCCCCCACCCTTTACCCCCCACACACCCCCCCCCCCCGCCCCTTTTTTTTTTTACCCCTTCCCCCCCCCCCCCACCCCCCCCCCCCCCTTCTTGGAGAGTTTCCTATTTTTTTACCTCTCCTTTTTTCCCCCACACCTTACCCACCTTCCCCACCACCCCACACCCCCACACACCTTTTTTCCCTTCCCCCTACCCCCCCCCCACCACCCCCCCCCTTTTTTTTTTTTCCCCACCCCACCCCCCCCTTTTTTTCCCCCCAGGCCCCGGTTTCCCCCACCTTTTCTTTTTTTTTTTTTTTTTTTTTTTTACCCCCCCCCCCCCACCCCCACCACCACCCCCCTTCCCCCCCCCCCAGCCTTACACCCCTACCCCACCACACACACCACATTCACCACACACACCCCCACATTTTCCCCCATTACCCCACACACACCCTTCCTTTTTTTTTTTTTTCTTACCCCCCACCTTTTTACATTCCTTCCCCACCCCCCCTTCCCCACACCCCCCCACCTTCACCACCACACCCACCCCTTATGTCCTTTCCCCCCCTTTCCCCCCCTTCCCCTTTTCCCCACCACCCCCCCCCCCCCCCCCCCCCCACCCCCCCCCCTTGCCCCCTTTTTTTTTTTTTTTTTTTTACCCCCCCCCCCCCCCCCCACCCCCCCCACCCCACCACCTACCCCCCTTCTTTTTTTTATTCCCTTTTTTTTTTCCTTTTTTTTTTCCCCCTTTTCCCCCCCCCCCCCCCCCCCCCCCACCCCCCTTTCCTTTTCCCACCCCCCTTCTTCTTTTTTTTTTTTACCACCCCACCACCCCACCCCCCACCCCCCATTCCCCACCCCACCCCCCCCACCCCCCCTTCACCCCCACACACCCCACGCCACACGCCACCTGCCTACACTTACACGCTTTTGCGCGCCGCGTTTGCGCACGCTTTGCTACCCGCCACGCGCTGCCGCCTACCCGATTATTCCGTGAAACCAGTTCACCCACCACTACACTTCTACCCTTTTATTTTCCCCTTA